CTGCAGTGATCCTTCGGGTCTGAAAATGCTTCAGTCTTTAGCCCAACAATGGGCAGGCCTGTCAGGGTAACACTAGGGTCACACAGCTAGGGTCACACAGCTAGGGTCACAGAGTAACCCAACGGTATAACCCTGGGGCGGCACAAACACCTCAAACCCACGCGAGGTCAAGGGTAGCATTCTCCCTCTGGGTCTATTTTAGTTTGTCCAACTCTTCCATGTTTCCTGCTCTCTCTCGATGGAAGAGCTATCTGTCTGCTTTGCTTTGTTTCTTCTTGTTGGTTTTTATTTGTTTTGAAAAATGTTTCTCTGTCTATGAAACCTGGGATAGGTAAGTCTATAGACACAGTGCCCGGATGAATGGTTCCTTGGGGGTGGGGGCTGGCAGGGGAAGTTATGGGGGAGTGGGGAGCTAATAGGGACGAGAACAAGAATGAAGAAAGCGTTCTAAGGTGGGTCATGGTGATTTGCACAGTCTCACTTAATTGGACATGTTGTCAGGAGAAACCAGCCCCTGGAGATGGACATCATGCTTGGTAAAGCAGAGGGGGCAGCAAATAAGAGGAAGGCCCTTAAGAGGATGGATGGACACAGTGGCTGCACACACACACACACACAAATATAGCTTCTATACAAAAAATAGTTTATGAAATCCACTAAAGAAACAAATAATGCAATAACAAACACGCTGGGAAGGGGAGACAAACTGACTTCCAAAATGACCACACTGCAATCTTCCAAATGCTGATTTGTCAACAACAAAACCCCCAAACAGTCCAAGAAACAATGTTCTGTTCATTCATAGGGGAAAGGGAAATGAACAGAAAATGTTCCTGACTACTTGACCTGTTGGGGGGTGTCTTTTTATTGTGAACTGGATAAAGGTTCACAGAGTAAATCAGCTTCCCACTGAACGATTCATACATGTCATTGATTGCAATCCCCGTAATACAACATCACTTATCCCACCTCCTACTTTTGTTTTCAATTTCCACTCCTTCTTTCTTCCTAACCTTCCTGAGTTGTGTCCTTGGGTAAATGCCACCCACTTGGTATCCACTCTAAGACTCAGTGCCTGCTTCCCTAGTGTTGTCGCTCCCCTAGAGACCTGTCTAGTGTTTAGCTGAAAGCTGACCTATGGGCTGAGTTCATTTCCATATCGGAAGAGTGACTCGGAGCCCTAATCTTTGAGCACCACCAGTCTCGATCCAATCAGCAAGCCTAAGCTTTTTGATGAGTTTGAGTTTTGTTCCACATTTTCTCCCACTCTGTCCAGAACCTTCTAATGTCATCTCTTTGAGAGCAGTTGGTGTCTGAGGCATGGAGGTGGTGTTTGCGTGGCCCCTTGGTCCAGTGGCCCGTATCCAGATGGCTCTTCTTTCTTCTGGCCTGGGAGAGACCAATAGTTGTACCTTAGATTGCTGGTCACGAGCGTTAAAGACCCCTGTGTCTTGTAGAACATTGCTTGTGTGGACTAAGTTATGCCAACTGACCATGGTGTCCCCCAAGACAATAGCCCTGAGTCCCTAAGCCCTGTCACTCATTCCCTCAAGGTATTTGCTTACAGCTAAGAAGTTTTCATAACTTTGTTTCACCACATTCATGGATATATTTGCAACACAGGTAAATGCACATGTAGAAATCACCTCTGTCAGACATAGATATTTGTGAGTATCGTCTCACTCTCCCTCCCACACCTGTGCAGGTGACAGGTCTGTCCGTATCCATGCATCTACTTGTCAGGCACCATCGTTACAGGCCTGTGTAGCTAACAGTATTTACTTACCTTTATCGCCTGTGACGCTTGGGGCGTCTTCTTCTGCCTCCAACTGCAACCTTCATAGTGTGGGCGGAGCCAAGCTTTGGAGGACCTCCCTTTGCTGACAATGAGAAGCAGCTGCAGGTCTCTATTAATAACCAGAACATGGAATATATGAAGAATTACTCTAGGAAAATTGGAAATTGTAAGAAATTAAATGGAACAGCCAAAGATAGATATTCTAAGCATTAGCGTGAGCTGCAATGGCCCGGTTTTGGTCATTTTGAGGCTACTGTGTTGAGAATGATAAGTTGAAAAGGAATGGCACCTGACAACAACAACGTGTGCATGCCAAAGCTGGGTAATGAATGGATGCATTTGAATTGTAGCAGAAGACACTTCACCAGTTATCCATTGCTGCCTGACAAACTACCGGGAATCATGCTCGCAGTTTTATAGACCAGCAAATCAGAGGCTGGTGTACGCAGCACCAATGAGGGTAGTGGGTCCACTTCTTAGTTTTTATTCATAAAAAAGATTTGATAAGTTTGATGAATACAAAATCGAGACACAAAAGTATTTTATTTCAATGTACCAGAAACAAATCATTGGAAAATGATATTGTAAAAGATAATGCCATTTTAAATAAACCTGAACATCTCCACGTGGAGATAAAACCACCCATGGCTTACCCACTGAAGCAGGAGACATGAATACTACACATTTTAATCGACGTTGAAATAAGAAATCAAAACCCAAAGCTAGAAGATCCAGCGGCTGAGCTCACCCTCCAGAGAGTCAGGAGGCCCTGTGTGGAGAATCCACATTGGCTTCCGGGGGAGTTGAAAGTACTCCTACATGGGACTAGAGGAGCCAGCTGAGGAAAGGCACTGCTACTCTGAAGGAAGATACCTTGGTGAGGAATGAAAGAAGAAAACAAATGGGGAGATGAAGTGTCCTATAGAAACAAAAAGAATCACAAATTCACCTGACACACTCACATAAATCTCTTCCTGCCCTATTAAGAAAATGCATTTCACTTTATAAACAGCAGAGGGTGCACTTGTGTCAAGAAACTTGGTAAAGCACCCAACCCTCCCATCATGGATCATTGCTGGACAAGACAATGTAGGAGATTTTCTAATATAATCCAGCAACTTCCCCATACATATATACTCCAGAGAAAGGAAAATACACGCCCACCCCAAAATGTGTTTCCATGGGTGTATAGCAACCTTATTCACAGCTGCCACAAAGGGTTGGGGGCGGGGGGACTGCGTGCCTCTCAACAGATGAAGGGATAAGCAAGATGTGTTCTATTCATACATTCAGATGATGGATTATTACTTGCCCTTGAGAAATAAAGTTCGAATACCCGCCATGGCATCGATGGCCCTTGAAAATACTCTGAGGAGTGCAGGAAGTTAGTCACAAAAGAACCGATATTGTGCGATTCCTCTGACGTGGAATAGCTACAGTGTAGGCAAACAGCCAAGGGCTCAAGCAGAAAGCAAATGTTTTGAGAAGGATGATGGCAACAAATGTACAAATGTGCTTGACACAATGGATAGATGGATTGAGATAAGAGTTGCACGAGTCCCCAATAAAATGATTAAAAAAATAAAAAAGAGGAGCTGATACCAAGGGTACAAGTACAAAGAAAATGTTTGGAAATGATGGTGGCAACATATGTATCATTGTGCTTGATACAATGGATGGATGGATTGTTGTAAGAGCTGTAAGAGCCCCCAATAAGATGATTCATTTTTTTTAAAAAGTAGGCAAATGGAACTGAAATTCATTAGTGATGGACCCGGATGGGAGGAAGAAGGGGGGGGGGCGGGGAGCCCGTGCTTATGAGTCCCAGGTGACGGTTATACAATATGAGGAGTGTAATGAACAGAAAATGGCAGGTGAGGTAGATGGTATTTTGTTCTTGATAGTTTACTCCTGCCTCCCTTGTCAGTCCCATTGGTATTGAGCTTGGCCCTGTGACTTAGTTGGACCAGGGAAATGTGAACCCACATGACTTACATCTCTTATCAACAGAAATTGTCTATGCAATTGCGTGCTTTGATGTTCTTATGCTTCTGCCATAAGTGAAAAATGACCAAACCCGCCCTGACTGTCCTGCAGCCTGGCCCTTGGCCTGAGAAGGCGTCCAGAGCCCTCTTGTAGCTTGAGCAACAAATACACATCCAAAAGAAAACCAAAACAAGAGTGTCCGTGGTAAGGGATTGACCAGATTGTGAGGAGGTTCTCAGCCACAGCAAAAGCGGATTCCTACAGCAGATGACAGAAGCAAAAAGCTACTACCTGGAAGCTGAACTGCTCAAACACTTGGAGGGGGCGGGCGGGGTGGGGTGTGTTTAAGGGGCGAGACTGTCTTGAGATGTGGGAGAGCCAGAAGCTAAAGAAGGGGTAGGAGCAGAAAACCCCTGGGGGCTCTGAGAATCTAACTCTTTCTGGGAGCAGAAAGCCCCGTCTTTCTCTCACTGAGCAGCTAGCGGTTTGGGACTGCTCACTTGGAGGCTCCGAGCCCAACGCATCACCACTACACCACCGGGGCTCCCTGTTCAAAGCACAGGCTCTGATCGTCTGATCGGACAGCACCTGTGCACACGATTCCAGCTTTCTGGAGACTTTTGCAAATTCTTTCCGTTTTGCCTGAATGTCTGCTGTAGGAATCCACAAACATCCCAAGTGTTGAGAGGTGCTTGAGTGACATCTTTGAACACACCCTTTCCTTTTCCCCAACTGTCCCTTGTGCTCCCTTCTCTCTTCCTGCTCAACCCCCTGGGCCACGGCACACATGCTAGGTGGCTTTTGATGTCCTTGGAAGACGCTGTGGGTGCGAGCGGCAACAGAACGGGCCTGTGTCCTGACCGTGGCTAGCCTGCACTGGGGGGAGCTGGGCACAGCATTCACGGACACTGGATTTTGGGGAGGTGGGTGAGAAGATTGTAGAGGGAAGACTTGGCTGGCGCTCTTCATCCTTTCCCGGTCCCAGATGTGTCTGACGTGCCACCTTGTAGGATGCATGCCTGAATGAGGGGGAGCAATGTCTACCCAACTGGAAATTTCCAAACCACTAGGACTTTGGAGTGGCAATTCTGATGGCTGCCAACGTGGAGAGGCCGCGCTGAGGGAGGAGACTGGCAGAGAAGGAGTCCAGTAAAGTTGAGGATAGATCTTTTTTCTTCTGTCAGGCAACTAATAAGTGCTATCTTCTCTCTTTCAGGTTTTTCAGGGAAATCAGGACTCTTTCACACCGGTGGTAAACTCTTTAGACCCACCACTAGTGACGTCCTACCTGAGAATTTACCCGAAGAAATGGATGCACCACATTGCCCTGCGGCTGGAGGTTCTGGGCTGCCAATCCCAACAGCACTACTGAGGGCAGTGCTGTGGCCTCTGGTGGTTCCCAAGCTCTGCTTCCCAGTCCAGGCCCTCCTGGGAGGGGGAGGGGGACGCTGGGGGCCCTCCAGGCAAGACGGCAAGCACTCTCTCAGCCAGCGCAGCTGTTTGGGGGAGAAACGCCTTTCTGCTGTAAGCACTTCGGAAACAGCTCCAAACATTTCATCTAAAACGCTCGCTTATTTATTATCCGAGTCAGGCACGGGACATTGCAACACCTGCAGGACAGGAAGTGAACTGTCCTTATGTCCTTCCAGCAAAAGAAAGCAAACACCCAAAGTACACGTTGTCTGGACACAGTGCCTTCTAAATGGGGGGCTTTCTTTTCACGTGTGTTGGGCTGACAGCAGCACAGCCTTGACATGAAAAGACAAGCGAGTCGTCTGTCCAGCTGTAATATAGAGACCATGTGAGAACCTCCTGGTAATGAACTTGTTATTCCCTTTGGGATGTTGTTAGTGTACAGTCTGACGTCAAAAGGTCATGTGCTTCAACAGAAATGATATACACTCAGAGTTTAAAGGGGGGGATGGTCTTAAAGGAGTTCTGTTTAATTTCATGTAGTAGAACTAATGAAGCTACTTGGTCTTAATTCTAAGCAACAAAAATATAGATGTATTGGGAACCTTGACATACAGTGACCATGTGACGGCCAGGAAAGGTCATGATGCTCATAGACTTCTAAAGGACAGACTTCTAATCGTTCTGGGAAAACTGACAAGAACCCATTGCTCTCTGGGATAAACTCACTGCCAACAAGTCAATTCCGACTCACAGCGACCCTATGGGACACAGGAGAAGTGCCCCTGTGGGCTTCTGAGATGGGCCCAATGTACTGGAGCAGAAAGGCCAGCAGCTGGAGAGCGCGAACCTCTGACCCTGTAGTTAACAGTTCAGTCCATAGCCCACTGCCCCACGAAGGCTCCTTAATCCAGGAGAGTAGCTTCCAATACTATAATTCTAACACTGCAAAAATAAATGTTAAAAAGACACAACAAAAGTTCAGCAAAGGCAACGCTTTCTATTCAGGCAAGTGCAGTGTCTAACCTAGACAGTAAAAACATCGAGGAGTCAGAAGAAAACTGAGCAAGGGGATAAAAGAGAAAACACGGCAGTCTGCTACAGCAACCACACCTGAGGAACCGTCACTAGGTTTGGGAAGGGTTCACTGTTCCTGAGAAGGCTCGAGCGGGTGAAGGGGTTGGAAGGTGCATCCCAAGTTGGCCAGCCAAGGCCATTGAAAAACAAGAGTTCTTAGTGTAATCGAAGATTTATCCTGCTCTCAGATAAGGCAAGAGAAATACTGCTTTTGTTTTCTGCCCCCTCCACCCACATATTACCTAGTAAGACCTGACCTCATCAAATACTGTGACTCCGCTGTCACCAGAGGGTTGCTTAAGTCCTGTGAGCTTCTGTAAAGTTCGAGGCTAACTTACAGAAATCAATACGTTGATTTGTTTTATAACTCAGCGGCAAAGGTTAACGGTGTGTTTTGGGTGGTTGGTTGTTTTCTTTTTCTGGTAAAAGATTAACCAGCAATCTTGTTTTGGCACTCTTTTCTCATGGATTCTATAAATCTCCATTTCTCAAATTCTTTTGTCTTCTTTCTGATTTCCTCAATAAAATACTGATGTGTACAAACACGTGCCTTTGTTTAAGACGAATGCACTCACATTTGAAATTAAAAAGTGAACAATGGTATTTTACAACCAAACCGAGGCACGGCACTAACAGGATGGAGTTTTCAGAAATCTCCACCATTTTTATCATGCTGGTTGAGTTAATTATAAGATCACTAAGGTCAATAGTCTTGGCAGGGTGCGAGGGAGGAACTATCAAGGTCAATTGTCATAACATCGTCCACAAAGGTAATGTTCTACGTCGAACTTTGGTGAGTAGGCACTGATCTCTCTCATGCCAGAGGAAAGGAGAATGATGAAAATCGAAACCCATATGGAAGCACTCGGTCTCGCGGACTCACGGGCCGTGCACACCTGAGCCTCCACAAGTCTGAGAGCAGAAAACCTCGATGATGCCTGTCGTCTGCCTCTACCACCGGCTCCGAAAAGGATCCCATTAGAGCAGTGGTGCTCCACCTTCCTCAGGCTGCAATGCTTTCATACAGTTCCTCATGTGGTGGAGACCCCCCTAAACCATCCAATTATTTTCGTTGCTACTTCTTCACAGTAACTTTGCTACTGTTATGAATCTGGGGACCCCTGTGAAAGGGTCATTCAACCCCCAAATGGGTCGCGACCCGCAGGTTGAGAACCACTGCATTAGAAGATCCTGGGTAGAGTAGAAGAAAAATGTAGAACTAAACTCACAATCATTAACGAGATCAGGCTTATTTGTTGGAGAGAGACTGGGGAAACCCCCGAGTCAGCCTTTGGATCTGGAACTAACTAACCCCCCTGACTCAAGTTCAAATACTAGACCTGTTCTCTAAGGAGAATGATAACACTAAGGAGGTCCCCATAGCTTTGAGTAATCAACAGTTTGAGATCAAAAGAGAGCCATTTCCTAAAAGACAAAGTTCACAAAGGAGGAGGAGGAATGGAAGCAGGAAACACAGGGAAGAAGTGGGATAGATTATTGACATTGTGGGGTTTGCCATGAATCAGATACAACAAAATGTGTATGAATGGTTCAACAGAAAACTGATCTGCTCTATAAACCTTCAGCTAATTCATAATACAAAGTATATATATATATATATCTCACTGAGATAATGAGTTACTTACCAGAAGACTGCTGAGTAAATTCAATCTCCTATAACAAATACAGGTGTACCATTAAATTAACAAATATAATTTTCTGTCACAAACATTCTTTCAAACATAATATCAAGGTTATAAGTCACATATCTTTGGAAGACACATATTCAAACAAATCTCACTGATACAGGAAAGCTCTGTACTCTTGTTAGTAAACAGATTGTACAACAACATCTTTCTGCTGACAAGAAGCAGGTTAATTATGGATTAAACGTTAACATTTACTAACTGGCTACAAATGGCTCCTAGTGTCAACTTCTTTTTCTCAGAACGTCTTGTTCAGAACGATTGTAACTTGTGGATTGTGATTTCATGGCCAAAGCTCAGACTTCCAACCTTAACATTTTCTATTTCTGTCAGGAGAGACAAAATATTGGAAACATCTTGTCAGAAAAATCAATCACCTGCAAAAAAGAGAATTAGAGTGATATCAGAGATGTTCTTTGTCTACCCTACCTTCCTTCCTTTGGGAAATTACCCCTCTTTCATTCCAAAATATGCTTGTTTGGCCCCTGTTCCGTGGGGCCCATTCCACAATCTTCTTGGTGCTTAAATGAGTGGGAGTTAGATTTTTGGCACTTGAAAAACAAAGAATACTTTTTTTTAAAGCCTCCTCATTCTCAACTGCAATCCTAAATGTGGCAAGACAGAGAAAGAAAATCCCTCAATGTAACTCAAAACTTTTCCGAAGCAGATTAATTAAGATATTATTCACATACAATTCACCCCTTTAAAGCGTATGGTTCGGTGCTTTTCAAATTCTTCACAAAGTCCTGCAATAGGATATATTTACCATGGATACTATGGGGAAGGTGCTCCTAACGAGGAGCAATGAAAGGTCAGAGTTGTGTTTATTTATCCAGAAATAGCATCACATCCCGAGGCAGACTACGAAACCAGTCACCAAGGATGTGAGGCCGATCCTACAACAGCCTCTAGCAGACAGGCGGCTGCAGCTCCTGCTTCTCGAAGCTGCTTGCGCAAAGAAAATGTCCGAAAGAACTCAATGCCTAAGGCAAAATTGTCTCCACCAATCTGTTCACTAAGCTCTTGTGACTCCAGGGAACCAGTTCCTTCAACTGTTCAAAGGGACACCTATGGGTGGATGGCCTGCCAGGGCCACCCCAATTCTATGAACCCAGAAATCTAGATTTGGGAGAACCGAAACAATGTTGTCAACAGTTTCAAAAGTAGTTGGTGGAGTAACAAACCTTAAAACAACCCAGGTATCAGCATATCTGAATCGAGTGACCTCAGACCTAAATCAAAAACTCCATTTTGAATTAAATGAAGCGTGTCATTTTTACTTTTCTAAGAAAAGTCAGCCTTTCTGCTTCGGAAACAGAAGAGACAAAGTTCAGGGGCTCCAACCTGGAATAATGAAATGCTTTATGTCTGGTAAGAATGTGGGAGCAGAATAGGAAATAAACCTGATGTTAAATGGAGGTTTGACAATCCTGCCTTCCTCCCGAAAGTCAAACTTTACTCACTAGGCCTCTCCGTTTTGTTCCTGTCACCTTTTGGTAAATCTGTTCCTAAGGTAGAGACCAAAATTTGATATAACAGAGACAAGATGTAACAGCAATCAGCTCCTGATAAAAGAACTCTCGAGAACCTAATGTCGGGGGTTTAAGTGGAGAGACAATGTTTTGAGAATGATGTACAAATGCGCTTTACACAATTGATGTGTGTATGGATTGCGATAACAGTTGTATGAGCCCCCAATAAAAGGTTTAAAAAAATTAAAAAAAAAAAACAAACTCTCACGGTGTACCCGCCTCAACCATCACCACCGCCAAACTCCCAGGCCTGCCGTCCGCACGGCTCCGGCTCCGCCAACGGCTCCGCCAACGCTCCGGCTCCGGCAACGGCTCGGAGCAAGCCTCCCGGCCGTGTGTTCCTCCAGGCCTGGCGCTGTGGGTTCCTGGGACTGTAAAGCCTCCCCAGAGTAGTCCCTGTCACGCTGTCGGCAATCCTTGCATTCTTTTTTTTCCAACTTTTTCATGGTGTGATTGTACACTTAACTGAATAAAGTGTAACATAATTCCTGTCTGCCCGACTGGCTTTATTGAGATCGTCACTCTATTGCTTTGGTCTGGAACCTGCGATAGCTCCAAGATATGTCTGCCGATGACATCACAAGGAGTGATATTCCATTGGAGCTTTGGCCAAGAAGATTCATTGCTTTGGACCGGTTGGTGGCGAGTGGTTAAGGTGAGTGGCTTCCCACCTGCCAAGGGTCCTTTTAAGGCCCACCAAACAAGAGATGAGTGTAGCAGTAGGGACCGGGATGAGGGGGTCCCTCTCACATACTTTGGACATGTTGTCAGGAGGGACCCATCTCTGAAGAGGGACAGCCCCAAAGAGGCAGGCCCTCAAGATGAGTTGCCATGGTGGCCAAAAGAGTCAGGCCAAAACAGAACAGTGGTGAGGCTGGCCCTGGACCAGGGGGTGCTGCCGAGTCCCTGACACACAACAACGACATCAGGAATGCGTTTAAGGGATCCAATTCCCAAAGCATGTCGTTGTTAGAGCCGCCCTCTGTACAGCACAACAAACCACCCCCCCAGTCCTGGGCCAGCCTCGCACTCGTCCGAATGGTTCCCGCCATTGTTGCTATGTGTTCATCCGTCTCATCAAGTCGAGGGTCTGATTCTTTTTCAATGACCATCCACTTCACCATGCATAACAACCCTCCTGATAACATTTCCACAGTATAAGAGACAAAATCTTGCAGGTTCTCACTTCGAAAAAGTCACCTCAGGCCGGTACTTCTCCCAAGGCAGATGTGTCCATTCTTCTTTTTTTTTCTTCCAAACTCCTCTGGTTGCATTTTTTTTTTCTGCTCCAGATTTTTTTAGATCATTTTATTAGGGGTTCATACAACTCTTATCACAATCCATACACACATCAATTGTGTAAAGCGCACTTGTACATTCATTGCCCACATCATTCTCAAAACACTTTCTCTCCACTTAAGCACCCAGCATTAGGTCCTCATTTTCCCCCTCCCTCCCTGCTCCCTCATGAGCCCTTGATAGTTTATAAATTGTTATTTTGTCATATCTTGCCCTGTCCAACGTCTCCCTTCACCCACTTTTCGGTTGTCC